GGGGGGAGGATCGTTGAGGGCGCGGTTCGGTCGGATTGCCACGATCCTACGACGGCGGGAGCCGCCCGCTCGATCGATTCATGGCTTTGTGGTTTGTATAACAAAAAGAACTTTAGTAGAATCATTTGATACCCTGCGGCTAGAGTGAATTCCGTTGATCCTAATGCACTTTAAGAGCTTGACACCTTATTTTTTTTAGGTTAAAACGAATGGCTTTTTTCGTACCCCCTTCATTGATGAGTTTCACCTCATGGTCGTGTTAACAATGTTGCAGAAATTCCTTTGGTCAAAATAAAAAATGGTTTGATATACTAGAATTGGTCTCCCATAGATCAATTAAATAAAAGATGAAATTCATTGAGGGAAATTCATTCATTCAGGGTGATATACAAAGTATGAAACATCTTTAAAAAGAAAAAGACTAATACGAAATGAAAAGGCTTCCACTTTCTTTCTTCTGCTTATAATATTTTTTTTATTCCTCAGTCCTCACCCTACTTTTATTTGTGTATTACTCTTGGTGCATTGTGGGTTGCCTATATTTTAAAACTTTCAGATTTGTATGCCTAAGGCAAGTGAAATTCTTCCTTTCGAATGGCGATGTCTTTTCTACTATGGCCCTCGCTGGGGTTTGCCATGAGGAGGCGCCCTTGTTGAAACAAAACTATCACCTTTACCGCATCTATTGCTATTCTCTGAAGGCCTAATAGGATAGAAGTTATTGCGAACATACAAATAAGACTATAAAGGCTCCACTCTTGATGCACGGTGTAGACTAATTTCGTCAATTTTATATATATATATATATATATATATGTATATATATTTGTGGAGGAGGGGGGCTAACGGCCCCCACTGCTAAAGCAAAAGTGCACGTCAAGAAAAGGATGGCATCAACACGGGAGGGCGCACTTCGTAATCCAAATAAACCCACCACCCTCCAACACGACGCCGGGATTACTCCGTTCGAGGCGGATTTTATTGGGGGCCGGGGCAAACCGCCCAGAAGAATTAACGGGCCGGTCTCTGCGGTTGACCTTCCCCCTTCGTCCTCACCGGGCTCTTTGACGCCTTGCAGTGGACAGTGGAATGCAGGGGTGATCTCGAGGATGTTGGGGAAACTCGAGAAAGACAGGAGAGGGGGGCTTAGAATGCCGATGAAGTGCGAACGATGGTGTTATCAGCCCCGTCGGATTCGTGGCGACCATCTCAGCTGTGGTTGAATGACTCGCTTCATCGTCCAGTACACATCGCGCGTTCATGAATGGCGATCGGACGAGTTAGACCGCACGGTTGGGTTTATTGCGTGGGTTCCATCCAGTCCACAGTTTGCTTCTGGCGCTTCGACGGGGGCCACGGGCATCTGAACTCATCAACCCGTAGGCACCACATCGAAAAAGGGGGGGAAGGAATGACTTCAACAGACGCTTTGGTGTGAGATGAATAACGTTTTTTTTTTACTAATCTTTTCCGTTTAAACTATAGTTCGAACTGTATTTTCGCCTTTGTGTCTAGGAACCTTTTTGCACGGTGTCAGACAAAATGGCCCCCATAAAATGAAGATGGGTGGACGTCTATGCAGGCCGAGTTAAACGTTTCTCGGTACGGCGTCCAGGGCTTTTTTCCTACTTGGATTCGGTACCCATTCCCATCACCTCTCTAAACGTTTGCCGGGCTTTGTGCACCTTTATTCATTGGCGCTTAGTGCGTCTTTTGCGTTGTGCGGCCTCGACCAAACACCATCCTTCTCTGTTCCCAATGCTTTCTGGTTGGCTTCGCAAATATTTATATTGATATATA